TGTTTTGTTGGCAATATCAAAAGACATTCCTTCTTCGCCTGTGCACGTGCTCAGCAATCTAGAAATAATATTTAGCTCACTTACAGTAGGCCACCAAAAGTACATTGCTGGTGTATGTTATCGCCCTCCTTCCTTATCACCGACTTTCATTAATGAATTACACGATGTTCTTAACATCATTCATACCCGTTTCTCTTCGTGTCCTTTGTTTCTTTTTGGCGATTTTAATCTCCCAAACATAAAGTGGCATGCCGCCCCACCCTTTTTGTCACCATCTTCAAGCGAAGCTAGCGAATTACTGCAACTATTATCGACTTTTTCGCTTACACAATTAGTTACACTACCCACGCGGGTAACATCTCACGCCGCCAACACCCTTGATTTAATTTTAACAAATACACCTGACCTTGCGTCCGACATTACCTGCTTACCGGATATAAGTGACCATTCATTACTCACATTCTGTATCAATGCGCCATCCCACACATGTAGCAAGAAAAGAAAAATAATACGGAACTACAGAAAAGCAAATTTTGAGGCCATAAATGATGAACTTGCGGTATTCCTTGATGTTTTTTTGAAGGATTATGATGAGCTAACTGTTCAAACTAACTGGGATATGTTTTCTTCCGAAGTTCGCCGACTAACCGATAAGTACATCCCCACGAAATTCATTACGACTCACGCACAATGCCCATGGTACAACCCAAGCATCAAACGCCTATCAAACAAAAAGAAACGTCTATATCGTGCTGCTAAACTTTCTCAGACTAATGCAAAATGGAGCTATGTCACAGCTCTAAAAAACGCTAAAGAAAATTTCATGTCGAATGTATTACCTTCCATGCTAAAATCAAATGTGAAACAATTTTGGCGCACTATTAACCCGACGTCTAATGATTCCATCTCTCTCCTAGATATGTATGGTGATTATATTTCTGAAAGTGAATGTGCTGGTGTCCTTAATGAAACATTTGTAAACAACTTTTCGCATAAATCCAACAGCTCTTTGCCACACCTACCTTACTGCAATTACGTCCAAATGCCACCAGTGAACATGGACGCTGCTGGTATTGCCGCCCTTATAAGCAATTTGAAGTTTCATTCTTCACCTGGTTATGACAGCGTTGATGCTAAATTTTTGAAAAATACATCTGCAACTAGCTCAATCATCTTGGCAAAAATTTTTCAGCAATCACTCGATCAATCTACGCTACCTCTTCAATGGAAAATCGGGAAGGTGGTTCCTATCTATAAATCCGGAAATAAATGTTCTCCTACTAACTATCGCCCCATTTTTCTTACTAGTACCTGCTGCAAGCTTCTAGAACATGTATTATTCACAAATCTTGTAAATTTCCTCCAATCAAACTCCTTTTTCACTCCTGCGCAACACGGGTTTCGTAAAACATACTCCTGTGAAACACAGCTCATAACCTTCACTGAAAAACTGCACACTATCCTGGACAGTTCGTCTCAAGCAGACTGCATTTATTTAGATTTTTCTAAAGCATTTGATAAGGTCTGTCATCAACTTCTACTTCACAAACTAAGTAACCTCAACCTTGATAGAAACGTGCTACAATGGATTGAATCATTCCTTACCCGCCGCACCCAATTTGTTCATGCTAATGGCTTTAACTCTTCTTTCAACGAAGTGCGCTCTGGGGTCCCACAAGGATCCGTCCTAGGGCCCCTTCTATTTCTTATCTATATTAATGACCTCCCTTCAAAATTGTGCTCTAATATTCATTTGTTTGCAGACGACTGTGTGATATTTCGTACGATTAATAATAGTGACGACATTAGAATCCTTCAGTCTGATCTAACCGCTGTTTCTAACTGGTGCCAAACTTGGCTGATGAAATTAAACATTAACAAATGTAAGGTTATGCACGTATCCCGCAACCCCAAGCATCAGTCAACTTATTACCTAAACAACATAGCTTTAGAACTAGTTACATCATATAAGTACCTTGGAGTGCACATTACAACTAACCTCAGCTGGTCAACACATATTGAACATATCATCAACAACGCTAACAGCATGTTAGGTTACTTACGCCGCAATTTTTCTAGAGCCCCATCGTCACTAAAATTATCGCTTTACAAATCCTTAATACGCCCCAAGTTACAGTACGCAGCATCAGTATGGGATCCAAGCCAAGAAAATCTAATCGCTTCTCTCGAGCTTGTTCAAAATAATTCCGCTCGCTTTATCCTGTCAAACTATAACCGCACTGCCAGCATATCTTCAATGAAAAGCAGCCTTTCCCTTCCCTCTATATCATCACGCAGGAAACTTTTTCGGTTAACCATGCTGCATAAAATATATTATCATTCCTCCCTGCGCAACAAACTCTTACCCCAACCACTATACATTTCCCATCGCATTGACCACCGTCACAAGGTTGGCATTAACTATTATCATACAAAATCTGCCACTCAGTCATTCTTGCCCCGTTCATCCCGTGAATGGAACCACCTTCCCGCTGAAATTGCGGGTATCACCGATAACCAACTGTTCCGTGCTGCCTTAGCCAATATTGTATATGCAGAAATATCTAAGGTTTAATCTGTGTTTGTGTGACCACATTGTTGCGATAATACTAATTTGTTTTGTCTTTCCTTTTCCTTTTTATGTACACAACGTTTTGTAACCATGCTACCTCATGTTATACCTTTGTTCTGTACCACTCCCCTCTGTAATGCCTCTGGCCCTGAGGGTATAATAAAATAAAATAAACAAACAGCCAGAGCATTAAACGCGACATGGCCTATCCCTTTGATGATGTGGCGAACACGATCAGCTTCTGTCATCGCCGAGTTCACGCGGTGGCAAAGGGCAAGGACATCTTCAATGTACGAAGTGTACGTCTCCCCGGGAAGTTGGGCACGCCCATCGAGATTTCGTTTCGACACTTCGGAATGGATGTTCAGTTTTCCAAAAATCCTATGGACTTGTTGAGCAAAAGTAGGCCAATCCGGGAAGCTGCTCTCGTGGTTAAAAAACCACGTTTTCGCGACATCGGACAGATAGAAGGCGACGTGACGAAGTTTTTGAAGCTCATCCCATTGGTTATAAACACTGGTCATGTCGTATTCTTTTAGCCATACCTCGACGTCGTCACATGGAAGACCACAGAAGATGGGTGGGTCGCGCTGCCGGGCGTTGACGATCCACGCAGGAATGGTTTGTTGGACAGGGATGCTGGATGTTCCGGGCAGCAGTTCTTGAGCCATGACAGCGGGCGGGGGAAGCAAGCGGCGACCCGAACGAAGCTCCAAGGGAACGTGACGTCGGAGAGGACTTGGGGATCAAAGCACTTCCACCACTCTGTAAGACAGTAGCAGCGTTGGAGTCTCGACGGCGTTTATTAGGCCGAATCGCCTGATCAACCCTTCGAACGAAGACGACGTTTTTTGTGATGATGATTATATACAGATGAAGAAGATGAAGGTCAAACGTTGTCAATATTGTGCTTACAATATCTTGAAGCTAACATTTGCGGCTAATGATCGGTCAGAACTCCCCACACTTATAAGACTGTGAAACGGTGCAAACATCTGAAGGTCTCAGATTTGTTGTCAGAATACTTTAAAGGGACAGAGAGCCATTCAGTACAAGAACTGAAATAACCCCACTAATGGGAAGGTTGTTTATTTTGTTGACTAACACAATCCCTGTTTTTCTCCTGAAACTCAGATTTGTATTTTCATGTCTCCACTAAAAAAATTGTGAGACGTAGCTGTTCGCACTCCACATGGCCGAAAAGCGAAGAATGATGATGTTGAACATGGGACTTTTTACTGATGTGCACCGGCAATGGTTTACACATCGGTGTTGAAACGCAGTAAACTTTCTTATTTCAGCTTTTTCTACCTTAAAATAGAAACATATGCCTTTCTTTGTACTGAGCACAACAGTGGCACCTCTTTACATGCTGTCACTGCAGGTGATCTCGCGTGGCAGCAAAAAACTTGTTAGCTGAGAGCCTGCGGCACCTGCAAACAAGTTGGAGAAGTAACAGAAGTTCCTGGCTCACAAGGCAGTACAGCTACTTTATGTGGCAATGAGCATTTGGAAAAGTTATTCTGCCAGCTTTTCATAGTCAAAAACAGTTGTAAATTTCAAAATGAAGAAGGTTAAGCACAGTTCCACTCACTCATGTAAGAGCAGGACATTTAACATAATGAACAGCTGGCAAGGAGTGTGTTGGGATTGAATCGCTATCAATTTTCAGCGTTACTGAAGGATGAACTTTTATTAATTTTTTTAGTGATTTCTCGGATAGAAAAATTCTGCTTACAGAATACCGACGTGTTTTTGGAATCAACCGCTGCATCTGTACCCATACCGAGGAAGAGCTTTTTGTCATGCCGTAAAAGACTTATGATTGTCAGTCCCATCAATCAAGCCCAGCTGCGGTGGTCTAGTGGCTAAGGTACTCGGCTGCTGACCCGCAGGTCGCAGGATCAAATCCCGGCTGCGGCGGCTGCATTTCTGGTGGAGGCAGTGATGTTGTAGGCCAGTGTGTTCAGATTTGGGTGCATGTTAAAGAACCCCAGGTGGTCGATATTTCCGGAGTCCTGCACTACGGCATCTCTCATAATCATATGGTGGTTTCGGGGTGTTAAATCCCACATATCAATCAATCAGTCCCATCAATAAAACTATGCTGATGCAGGTAGCAAAAATAAAAGCTTGATTCTTATGCTTTGTTCACCAAACTTCAGACTGCGGTGTGAAATGAAGTATATCTTTTCTCAGAAACAAGTAAGGGTATGGCCATAAAATTTTGTGCACTAATTCCTTGTGAGAGTGACATTAATCGCTACCTGAAAAATTGCGTTTGCAGAGGTACTTTTTGTTGCTTCAAGATGCAACATTTTTCAACTTTTGGTATAATAATACCTTTTTTCATCATTTTTTTTCTACCTGTATGTGTGAGGCTTTGATAGCCAACTTAGCTCGAAAGCTAAAAAACGGTTCTTTTCAGAACATGACCTGCGACGACATCGAGGAGGAGATCAGTCTGGTAAGTTCAGTGCTCTGTTAAATTATACATTTGAGATTTATGCTTTTTCACAGTGCAACCTATATAAATTAGCATTTGTAGGCACTAGCTTAGCCTATTGTTATGCCAGCCAAGGTTGCATTGTATACTTTGCAAGTTTGATATATCCCATGCCATGGTTGCACTACAGAAATATTTCTGTAGACCAAAGGCAAGAAGTGGACTGATATTTGTTTCAGGAAATGCACCAACAAATTTACCGATTGCCGTTCATATGTGGTGTATAAGATTCCATTTGGCTGTGTCCATCTCTACATAGGCCAGACGGTCCTCTGTGTTTACCAGAAAATAATGGAACGTAAGAGATCATTAACTGGAGGCTCACCCACAAACATGCTAAAATCGTGTTTGTTTAAAAACAGCTGCTTAGTGCAATAATGTAACGGGGTACTATGACTACATCTCTTGCACAAATCTCATATGTCGCTCACAGCCACATATGTGCCTCGTCTGTGGGTTTGTTGATAAGTGTCATAAAGTTGGTAATCATGAGTAGAGGCCAGATTTTCAGGCATTAAAAATCATTTTTTTATTTGCATATTTTTTATTCTGTCCCCATTGCCAAGTGATACCAATAATGGTATCAAATTGCTCTCAAAAGCGTAATTTGAGGTTAACTATACTTAACAAAAAAATTTAGTAAAAAGGGCGTCTTTTTGTCCCACAAGAATAATCATCTGGCTTGTTTGGGCTTCCTTTCGTGAAAACTTGGTGCTGGCCATTTTCCTGTCAGGAAAGCTATGTTATGCCAATAACGCACGTGTCATTAGTGACCTGAAAGTGCCGGGCGTGCGGGAATTGTGCAAGGAAAGGAACGCAAGGTAGATGACGATTATTGTTGTGGGACAAAAAGACTCCCTTTTTACTCAGTCTTTTCATTGTGTGTAGTGCTCGAATAGGCGCAGATTTTGAAAGTAGGGACTTACAGGTATTTGGGCACAAAAGTAAAAAATAGGCATTTATAGGCACTATAAAAACGTTATGAAAGCCCTTCTTAATGTGTAATCTATGCTCACATATAAAAAAGGGCCGATGGAAATGCAAGGCATTTGCCTGAAGTTCGATCCCTAATTTTGATTATGGAAATTAGGACAACTTTTTAAAAGGAATGCTTGTACAAACGTTTCGCATCTTGTTTAGTTTCTGCAGCACTATGTATCTGAAAGCCCGCCTCTCATGACAGGAAATCTTATTTGCCGAAGTGTGCGATGGTTAATAATTTGTGAACGTTTTTACAATGGCCGATTGCTGCTTTGGTATAGGAGAGTGTCAAGAGAGGCTGGACTGGGGTTGTTTTTTTGTAAATGTATGTGGCGTCACGAGGTTGACAAAACAGTGATATTTGCCGAATTTCTTTAGCAGGTCTGCCATATTTGTCTATTCAGTTGCCTGGTTGTTTTTCTAAATTGCCTCTTCTTAGCTTGGTATAGCTGCAGTCTTATTTATGAACAAGTGCATCAATGTAGTGCAACGTATGGGGCCTCCTTTTTAGTGAATTCATTATGGTTTAAAGTAGGTGCTTTGTTCACACACACACACACACACACACACACACACACACACACACACATATATAAAATTAAAAAAATGCTTCTTTCAGGTCACTGATTGTGTTGACATCAAGGTGGAACCAGCTAGCGCTACGACCATGCTTGCTACTGTAAGTGAAGTGTGGTTGTAATTGTGGAAGTTAGTGCTTATAATTCTGAGAAATATTAGAAGGCAACAGCGACTGACTGCTTCTTCTAAGGTCACGTTATTTGAATAATGCTGGTAATGACTGCGTGGAATGGTCTCACTTTTCAAGCATTCGCCATCTTCAGTAAAATTTCACTTGAAGCGAATCTTTTTGAGTAAGTAGCGTACACCATTGCAGCAATGCTTGCAAATCTGCAGGGTGGTGGTGGTGCAGTCTTTTTTTTTTTTTTGTGGCCTTTAAACTGCACAAAGGTAATGAAAACATTAAGTTGCTTGTTGTCTTCACAGAGTCACAGTCCTACTATGTGCTTGATGTTCCAGCACCTCATCTCGGAGGTCATGTCATGCCAAGTAACTCCACATTCTAGTTCATGGCCATGTATTACGCAATGTAAACCCTGTCCCACGACGTGATGAGCATAGGTAGTTTGCACTGAAAAAAGAAAGAGGTGGCGTTTTTTTGTGTTTTTTAAGTGAAAGGAGGGGGGGGGGGGGAGGCTGCTTTTTAAATGATCGCCAAAATTTTTTTTTCTACATTGCTGTTGTATCTTGCTATTAGTGATTCACGTCGCCAATTTTTATATATTCTAGATCATTATTTTAGCCATATCAGCCTTTTACATATCACACAAGCATCTAATGGTGTTTTGTTTGTAGCCGCAACGAAATGCTGTTTTGTTTTTACATACCCTCATAACTTGCCTAGTCTCACTGATGCTGCACTTGAGAAGCTTTTCTCGGCTCGCGTGCAGCCAATTTTGACCATTTTTGCCTTGCTGAAAAGCCGGCTGTTGAGTAAGCCCAGTAGGGCGCAAATGTTACTTTGTAAAGTTATAAGCGTTTGGAAAGGGTGGAATGAATAAGGTGCTTTTTCTTAGTCGTTTAAGTGAGAGCCCTGCAGCGTCATAGTCTTTGTTCTACAAAAGCCAGAACTGTGAGCTATTGTAGTGCTCTTTGATGTATGTCAAGTTCTGTGATATTTGATCATTGAAATCTATAAAGCCAGTTTATTTAAAATGCTATAAATTTATGTTTTCATCAATAATTTTATAGTAATGGTAGGGCATGCAATAAAACTGAATTCATATTTGATATCAGCACACCGACATGTGCAATTGATGGTGTTTTTGTCATCCTAGCTTAAATAATATAACACTTTATGTGTAAAAATAGCCACCTACAATAGCAAGAGTGGCTTATTCAAAGTCATGCATTCCAATGCGATCAAGGTAACCAAACATCCAACATGGTAGCTTAAATTCTCAAGTAGCATGTGAGGCATGCCACTTGATAAACCAGTCCGATATTCAGTCGGTCCTAAAAAAAAAAAGTCTAAGTTCTAGGTTTAACCTTGGCCAGAAAGCCAGTTCCAAAGGTGAATTATTTTATGCTCGAAGTATGCCTAATGTGCATTTAGTCTGTCATTTTTTTTCACCTAAAACTTCATTTGAAATGCAGTTTGCGCTCACACTTTTGCTTCATTCTGCGATTAAATTCTTAGGCGTTAGAATTATTGTGTGCATTGTTTTGTAGGAACGCCTTGACATGATTGACAGAGAACCATCCGAGTCATCAGCCCTGCAGCCACGCAGCATAGTCGTTACCCCTTTGACAGACAGCGCTGAAATATCAAGTGAGGTGTCCTCCATGGAAAGCAACCTAAGGTTAGTGAGGATCACATAGTGCTCTGCTGCGTGATAGAAGTGATTGTTCATTCATATTGTTTCTGTTAAGCAGGTGAATGTTGTAAAACTAAATGAGCACAAAAATAATAACGCTGCTCTTACCCCTTTGTGAGTGTACCATCAGTTTCCCGGCAAAATACACTCTTTCGTATAAGTCTGCTTTATAGTACCGAGACGGTTCTGAATAATTGTGAAGCTCAGTGAAGCTTTACACGTTTGTTTAACTATGAACTGAACAACGCTAAATGAGCACGTGCCTTTAATTTTGTTCCAAAGCACAGTCACGTCGCTCTCGTGAAATTCACAAAAACAAGAATGAACGTAGTCTGTTACACTGCTATCGTCAGCCAGTGCAAAGTCTTTTACAGTCACAGGTGTATGTTTGTCAGCTGTATGTTTACCATTCAGCAAAAAGTATACAGGAACGATATCATGGTCAGATAGGCCAGGCTCGACAGATGTTTGATAACCACAAAAGGAACGTTCAAAAAGACTAGACCAAGGAGCAAGCTGAGACTGGCTCCGTGCCTGGTAGGCTCACAAACTACTTGTGCAAGGTTGTGATCAAGCATCATGAAATTATCTCGTTACCTAGTTCAGCATTGAATAGTATTTTTAAGTGGTGCAATAAATGGGGCATGAAACTAAACTCTTCTAAATTTGTGCTCCTGTGAATGACTAAAAAACAGTGCCACTCAAATTTTTGATACTCTATTGGCCAATACCTTTTGGATGAAGTTAACAAGTACAAATATCTTTGAGTTAACATAACGATTAACCTTACTAGGAGCACCCCATTGCTAACATCGCCTTTTCAGCTTTTAGAAAATTAGGTCTTCTTCGCGATAACCTTAACCATGTGCCCCCATGACGTAAAAACTTTAACCTATTTGACTCTCATCACACCCAAATTAGAATAGCCTGCATCATTTGGGATCCCTTGACCAAAACCAGTACTGATGCTCTCGGAAGAGTACAGAGAAAAGCAATGCGATTCATTTTTGCTAAATAAAGCCACAATGATTCTTTGACTGAACTTTTACACTCCAATGAATTTCTAGCTGTTCAAGTGAGGCGTAAGATTGACTGAAGTTCTAAATAAATATACAAATAAATAAATGCTGATGAGATTCTTTAATTTTGGTGTCAAGGACCATTATCGCATGGCACACCAACTTGCATGGAGACTAGTGTGATACCAAGCTATAGTGTGAATTCTGGTGGCTTCAAGCACCAGCATGCCTAGTTGTGATCATCAGGTCGAGTACCAAGACACCAAATGGCTGCATTGTGCATCACCAATGCACCCAAACAGCAGAGTGGTCGGGGAAATGTCACAATATCTTTTGGGAGCGTGTGACAAGAAACTCGTACTGTATTTGGACGTCAGGGTGCAGAACAATCCGAGGCTAGCTTTTCAAGACATGTAATTAGTTTTTCATGGTGCACTCATACTGACCAGTAAATTTTCTAGGATCGTGAGGTTTGATGAGATGCCACAAAATAACAACTTAAAATTTTTGTGTCAGTACCCTTTCAAATATGCTCGTCTATATTTTTCTCTTTAATTTACAGGATTCCTGGTTGTGCCCCTGCAGTTCCAGCGACACTGGGCGAGCAGTTTCAACAGGTGAACCCCTCTGGTCATCAGCGCACTTACGAGGTCAAGTTCCAGTGCAGCCAATGCTCAGCAATGTTAGCGAACAAGTGGTCACTGCAAAAGCACATGCTGACCCATTCCAGTGAGAGGCCCTATGAATGCGACATGTGTGGCACGCGATTCAAACGAAAGGGTGCGCTAGTTAAGCACCACATAACTCACACGAATGAGAAGGAATTCAAGTGTGAACTGTGCCCCTCGGAATTCCACCGTAAGGCTTCACTGGAAAGGCACAAGAAACTTCACGAGAGAGGTGAGGACCTGTTTCCCTGCCAGGAGTGTGGCAGAATCTTTCGACAGAACGAAAGCTTGCTGAAACATCTGCGGCGACACACGCTCGAGAAGCCCTTTGCATGCCACTTGTGTCCAGCGAAGTTCCCAAGGCAGCCAGACCTGAATGTTCACATGCGTAAACACACAGGCGAAAGACCGTACAAGTGTTCCATCTGTGAAAAGTCATTCAGTCAGTCACACACACGTACGATTCACATGCGTCGTATGCACACCGAGGTGATGCTCAACAAAGGGTTTTCCTGTTCTGCTTGCGGAAAGGTGTATTTTCATCGGCTAAGCCTCCGCAGGCATGAAGGCACTCACGAGATCAAGATCTTCCAGTGCAGCCTATGCTCAGTTACAGTGGCGCGCCGGTCGTTACTAAATAGCCACATGTTGACGCATTCCAGTGAGAGGCCTCACAAGTGCGGCACGTGTGGCATGGGATTCAAACGAAGGGCAGAATTACTGAGGCACCGTAGCACTCACACAGTTGAGAAGAAGTTCAAGTGCGAGCTGTGTCCGTCGGCGTTCCGCAAGAAGTTGTCACTGAAAAGGCACAAGGAATTTCACGAAAGAGGCGTGGACATGTATAACTGCCAGGAGTGCGGAAAAACATTTCTATACAAGAAGAACTTGCTAGTACATCTGCGGCAGCACATGCTGGAAAGGCCATTTGCATGCCCCCTGTGTCCAGCCAAGTTTTCGAGGGAAAACCACTGGGAAACTCACATGCGTGGACACACGGACAAAAAAACCTAACAAGATTTCTGTCTGTGAAAAGTCATTCGCCCAGTCCCATATGTGTACGCTGCACATGCCTTGCATGCACCATGACGTGGCACTCGAGGTAATGAGCATTGATAACAAAAGGACGCTGCAAGATAAAAAAAAAAAGTGAGGGAAAACTTACAAAGATGCTGATTTAATCACAGGCATACTGGAGTCACAGTTGTAGTGGTCTTACATGCTGGTAACTATTGAAAAGGCTTAGTGGAGTTGAGGTGTAGTGCTAAATGCCTGTCAGAACATGGACTTGGACCAGGTTATATTGAATTATGCCCTATGGGGGACAGCTGTGACATCTGCTTGGTAGCCAAGAAAAAGAGAAAGTTCTCTACCACGCATATAATAGGCTTGCTGTTTAGCACAGGGTTCTTATATAGTCAGCTGCCAATTTTTCATTCAGGCTTGAAAATTTGGACATTTTCGCAGTACCATCACAAGTCCCATAGAGCCAGTCTAAGAATGCCTGAAATATTGGATGCCGAAACATTTTAATGTCTGATTTTTTTTTTTTTTTTTTTTTTTTTGAGCTCAGATTGCAGGCTCAAAATAGCATTAATTGAAGCCACCACCACTGCCATGTTGATCATTTCGCTGGCTCGAGCCAGTGCCTTCGTGAGTTAATCCATTTGTGGTCGTGCGAAAAGGCAAGGCTCGGCTTTGCCACACTGCCAAAACATTAGATGGAAAAGCATACGTAGAATCAGAATGGGCGACGGGGTGAGCGTGTCGGTGCGGCTAGGCAAATTTGCCGAGTCTGAGGTGGATTTACCTCGTCTCACTGATGCTGAAGGTGTTAATTATGGAAAGTAGTGTTAATGATAATAATTATTGTGTTGAAACAGAGTTGCTTGCACGCAAAGTTCCCATGAGCAATGCATGATGATAATGGTCCCGTGTAACTAGTGTTTGCAGTGCACACATATGTGGACAGTTGTCTTCATGAAGCGTAGCGATGTGGGTTTGTTGGCACATCTTGAAAACGCAGCATCTCTTGACACTTTCAGTGAAGGAATAAACTTTATCGTTGTGAGTAGCGCCCATGTTTCCAGTGTCTCTTCTTCATTGTCCTCGTTTTCACTGGCACCAAGATTGTTGTTTTCTTCTAGAAGTGGAGCTAAATTTTTCAGGTTTTCTGTTTATTCCCATTTTCGTGTGCATTGATATGTATTACATACACATAAAGAAATATTTAATTGTGCAACTGGTTTGGCTGAGGGAAACAAAAGGTTAGAGGGATACTGAACAAGAATATGAAAAAAATGACAAATACCTAGAAATGAGATTTGGAAGACTCGAATTCCATGAACAGCGTGCATTTCATGCGTTTTTGGAGACGCCTGTATTATAGTGAGCACCGGCGGCTGCGCACCAGTGAGCATGGCGGTGCGCGTTGACGTCTACTACTTCACGTATGCCAATGGTGGGTGCAGACTTTCCTGCTCTGCTACATCCCATTCTTTGCCCTTCCTTTGCACCCCCCTCTCCTCGTTCCACAAAAGCACAGAGTTGTTCCCCGCCCGGGAGCATAGTTCGCAACCAGTGACTGGTTCTAGGACGGTGGTGGCAGCTGGCTCTCTACAATTTTCAAAAATCTTGAGGACCAACATTTCGCAAATCTGTTTGCCTCTTGTATTTGCGCTGTTTCTTGAAGTATCTACCCAGCTGTCCACTGTTAAAGGGAACATTGAAGCGTGCGGTGGCAGATCGGCACTACCACTGGCCGGTGGCTGCAACGAGTGTCACTCCGGCGCAGCACTCGCTGTGAGGCGTGCTCTTCTGTCGTCTGTTGCCATTTGCTTCTGGGCTAGGAATCATCACGAGACTAAACGTTCATGCGACTAAAGAGCACCGGGCGTGGTGCTGGCTGTGCCTCAGCGGAGCTCCTTGCAGCCGCCAGCCAGTCGTGGTGCCAAGCTTGTGCCCCATGCTTCAATATTCCCTTCAACAGTGGACCACTGTGTGCTGCCAAAAAGCCCAAGTGTCTGCATTGCTGAAAATCGTGGTTGTTCAGTATCCCTTCAAGCAACACTCGCACAGCTAAACCTGCAGGTTTCAGGATAAATAATGCAAAGTTAACCGCTTGAGGTTTTTCATGGCCAATGCTTCAGGTCATTCAATGGTGGCCAGGGAATAAGTGGATCCAGAATTGTGTTTTGAATGCTTTGGTTTTGTGTCTAGGCTTCCTTTTTTTATGTGTGTCTAAACAAAAATGTATTAGTTGCCGCTCAGTTGCATAATTAAAAGTAAAAACTTCATAAAAGGGGATGTCTTTGAGCTCACAAGTCTATTCTTCACTAGGTATATCAAATGAAAAATGATGTAGTAAAGGGCTTTCTGTCATTGTGTGTGTGCTTTTTATTCTGAGTAAGTGGTTGCTTTTCACTTCAGCTCCTAAGAATAAAAATGAGGAAACACTTATTTCAGGCCATACCAAGTGTTTGTGTAAAGGTGGAACAGAGCAGCCCTAGAACAACACCGCCTCGTGTAAGTGAAGTGAAGCGAGTCATTGTGCAGTTTTTTATATTTTTTTTATTCTGATCAAAATTAAACTGCAGTAGTTACCTCCTCCTCCTTTTGGAAGTTAACACTATCCGAATAATGTCCGTGGCATGGTACTGATAATAGCAAGCAATGATGCAACCAGACTTATACGTTTTACAGAGTACAAGTAAATGATTACAATTAAAATTGTTTCCTTTCAATATCTGATTGATTGCAATGGTCAATTACAGCCCTGGAAAGGTGACCGAGCGCCCCATCACGGTTGTCTATGCTGCTCGACTGCTAACGCAAAGGTGACGGGATCAAATCCCGGCATTTTCAATGAGGGCAAACATGTTTGAGGCCCGTGTACTCAGATTCAGGTGCACGTTAAGGAACCCCAGGTGGAAACTTCCAGAGTCCTCCGCTACGGTGTCTCTCATAAGCATGTCATGGTTTCGGGACCTTAAACCCCAGATATTGTATTGAAGGTAACTGCGCAATTACATACATGTGGTCTACTACCTGTGTTGCATTACTTTGTTTCACAATTTCATTGTAACACAAGGTTAGTCAGACTACAACCAAACCACTGTGGCTTGTACAGTAGAGAGAAGACTGAAAGCTTGCTTGAAGGCCAAGAGGCTTACTGTATTGGCTGTGATGTAGGGTGACAGGATGCTAACTTTCTGTAGGAATTGTTTTTCATAGTTGTCATGGCTGATTCTGCCACGTTTACTCGTTAAGAGGCCAGCTGCTACACTGAAACTCTCTTATCACGTGTGCTGGAAGGAAGGGCGGTATTATAAGTTAGGCACACCTTGCTCACGAGCTCATAGTTGTGCCGAACTCTGATGCTAGTGTCCCTATCCTCTATGAGGCATCGTACTTCGCTGTTGGTGGCACTCGGGTAAGGCTGCAGGTGAGGCCAGGGAAAAGGTTTGAGAACAAGCTCTTTGGGACCCCCCACGTGACGGAGGGAGCGGGGCGAAGAGAGAGCGAGAATAGCCGTAGAAACATGTTACAACTTGATATTGAAAAAAAAGTCTTTGGATACCAGTCATTGATTACATTAAATGTGTAATTAAATTACCTAGGGTGTTACAGTTTTGAAACAGTAATCGTCGGGTTATTAAATTACAAGAAAATGTAACTAATTACTTGTAATGTATTATGTGCACCTCTGGACTAGGTGTACGACTCGTAACCCTTCACTAACTAATGCCAATCTACTGAGCCTAAACTTTACAAATTAAAGCACCTTAACTTGCAATTATGTATGTGTGTGGTTCAGAGTGCCTTATGGCTAACTGACCTTTAAGATTTTTTTTTCCCCTCAGGGCATGACCTGTGCTAATGGCAAGCAGGAGTTCATAATGCCGAATCGCCCTCCACCATTGCTATCGCTTGTAAGTATGTTTTGTATAGAGTTATGCAATTAGAAGTTATAATTCTTAACAATTTTACTTATAGCAGATATGAGCTGGTGTTCTCATGTACTCTTCTTTGCAATATATACAATATCAACCCATACTTTGTTAGCTATACCAACCATATAGTGGCTGAAAGCTTCATTAAAAAAAAATCTTTCAGGTTGTGGAGAGTGTTGACATCAAAGCGGAACCGAGCAGCCCTAATACTGTGCTTCCTCCCGTAAGTCGAGTGCAATATGGTATTGCATGATCTTGTGTTTTCTTTCATCTCAACTACATTAAGAGAAGGGAAGGAGTGGCTTTTCTTTATGTTAGCATCAAAGGACTTCTTACAGCGAAGTTTAAATCGTAAAAGCTCTAACGTATCGCATGTTTAGCACTAGCATCGTTCCTTCCGACAAATTTAGCATCCCTTTAGCATCACCAAACTTTAAACTACAATGTTAAATGAAGCGTATTTTTTCCTCAGAAACGAATAAGGGTATGACCATGAAATTTTGTACAGCCGCGGCCACGCCTGTGTAGGGCACGCGAGCAGCCGGTTTTCGCCCAGCGGCGCGAAAGCTTGAGGCACTTTCGGGCTCTGAAGTGGTGTATAAGGAGCATGCGTCGTCTGGTTGTCAGGCTGACTGCGTCAGAGCCTGATACTCTCTCAAGGTTTCGTGCCGCAGAGCAAAAACCGACGGCTCGCATGCTCTACACAGACGTGGCCGCGGCTGTACACTAATCTCTCATAAGAGTGGCATTAATTACTTGAAAAATTGGTTTTGCAGAAGTCTTTTTTGTTGCTCTAGGATGCACGATCTCGAACCTTTTAATGTAGTACCCTTCATCATCTTTTTTTTTTTAGCTGTGTTTGTACAGTGTAAAGTTAGCCCTTTGTAGCCAACTTAGCTCAAAAACTCAAAAAAATGTTCTTTTCAGGATCTGACCTGCGATGACATCAAGGAGAAAATTGAAATGCCACACAGTCCTGTGAGTTCAGTGTACAGTGAAATTTGTGAGTTCTGATCTCTCATAGTGCGACTTATGTAAATGAGCAGTTGTAAGCATTAGTATTAGGTTATTATGCAAGTCAAGGCTGTATTGTCTACTTGCTCATACGAGTGTTACGCTACAGGAATATTTAGGACCAGTGCTGTGAACCATTGCAAAATGCCTGTTAAAGAATGACACAGAACTAAGCTTGCTGGTAAGTATTCATGTTTAAAAAACATAACATGTGCTGCTGTATAGAGAACGTATAAGCGTGTGGTAGACAAGAGAAAGTTTGAGAATTGGGGCCCCAAGAATTAGGGGACTCGAGAAGTTTGTGACCCGCCAAGGCGCATGCGCAGAACCTAAGCCAGTGTTGGGCTCTTGCGTTCCTGTTGATTTGAGGCTCGAAAATCGAAAACTAGCATGGATCCCCAAGACGTCTTGCGTCGCGAGCGAGACGACACATATGACGCAATGCGCACCACGATGAAGTATGGCTCGTGTCTCGCATGATGTTAACGTCCCCATGTGGTATGCCCTGTGAATTTGACCCAACCCAGCCTGCGTTAGATCCAATTCTCAAACTCTGCTGATGATCCTCCGGACGCAAGAGCAACTTACACTAAGCAGCTTGGGGACCCATTGTCTTGGACCCCCAATTCTCAAACTCCCTAAGAAGTGGACTGTCATTTGTTTTGGGAAACACACCAACAAATTTACTGATTACTGCACAGGTGTGGTGTATATGATTCCGTTCAGCTGCGCCTGCTTCAACATAGAGAAGACAGGTTTGCTTTGTTAACCTCAGCATAATGAAAGATAATATATCGCTAACCGGAGGCTCACTATCTAATTTGTCATTGCAGTGTTGAGAGTGTGAGTGCATGCCGAACTTTGATAAGTGTGCGATTTAGAAGCGCCACGGGCATGAAGAAATGTGTTTAATGGTGGAGGCCTGGCATATCGATAATGATAGCACATCCGTGAGCCAACCTTTCATTAGCCTGCATAAAGATTAAATTGAGTGTCTAAACAGTTATCTCTGATGCAAGTCTGCACACAAGCCGAATTGATAGGTTTGCCTATTGATAGGTCTGCCTATTGCACGTGAGTGGTCAATGTCGCATGTGATATACGGTAACACCAAACGATACTACTGCTTTGTCCACTCATCATTCGCTGCGTAGATATGCCGGGAAATTTTTTTCCGTTGCTTCCTGATCTTGTATATTTTTCTCGTCATTTCCATGATGGAAGTACGTCACCGAAGTCTTGGTGGATGCTGACGTAAAAGTCTTTCGTGTTGAAAAAAAAATTTTTTTTCTTTCAGGTCACCGAAAGTGTTGAGATCAACCCTATGACCACGCTTGCTACTGTAAGTGAAGTGTAGGATGTAATTGTGGAAGTTTCTGTTTATCATTCTTGACTGCCTCTTCTAAGGTCGCATTATTTGAATAACGCTGGTATTGATAACTGCATGAAATGATCTCACAGTTCATGCATCGGCCATTTTCAATGAAATCTCACTTCAGGAAATTTCGTTGGCTTAGACAGCCCCAAGTTAACAGCAGCTAAGAGAAAGGTGTGCCTCTCGTGGTTACGCTAAGTAACATCGCAGTTCCATGATTGAAAAACCTCGCAAGTCAAATATCAAACTATGGCGTCAGCTTCGCAAGCTGATAGTGTTTAACGATAAAAATTGCCTGAAATTTTTACCAGCTATCGAATAGCTATTGTTTAGAGTATGGGAAGATTTATTCTATAATAATTTATTTCCAAAAGTCTGCTGCATGTGTAACGTGTAGAGGTGGCCTTTTCAGTTTATCTTCCATTGTTATTTTCAACATAGAGTCGTGTCCAGTGTCGCTAGTCGCTAGACACCCCGCCCTATTATGTCAGTGTGTGGGACTGACTTTGTTTATATTTGATATTAGCAAATGAAAATGCATCATTGGAGATGTTTTTTTTTATCTTAGCTTGAATAATAAATATGACACTGTCTAAATGTCACTGCCTGCAACATCAAGAGTAGCTCATTTAAAGTCCTGCATTCCCAAAACAATCAAGGTAATCAAACATTCATTGTGGTAGCTTAATTTCTCTGGTAGCATGCCTCGAGTTAGTAATTGATTGGCCCGAAAAATCAAACTTCTGCATTTAAATTTGGCGAAAAAGCCAGTTGCAAAGATGAGCTTTTTCTACGTCTAAAGTGTTCGTAATTTGCAACAAGTTCATCATTTTTTTTTTCACCTGAAAAGTACTAATAGTATAGGCGAATTCATCTTAACTGCAGTTTACACCTTGCTTTATTCTGTGGTCGAATTCGTAGGTATCTTTATGATTGTGTACATTGTTTTGTAGGAACGCCTTGACGTGATTGACAAAAAGGCATCCGAGTTACCAGCCCTGCGGCCGTGCAACGTAGTCCTAATCCCACTGCCGTCGAACGCTGAAAGGCCACGAGAGGTGCTCTTCACAGAAAGTAACCTAAGGTCAGTGAGAATTGCTTAGTGCATTAAGGCACACTATATGATAGAGGTAAGATGGAAAATTGGGCATGTTGACTCGGATTCATTGTGGCTAACAGCAGAAAGACCTAGACATAGAGCAGAACTGGACACAGCACAGCGCTGACCTTAAAAGGAATTTTTATTAAAAAACAGGACCATATATGACATACGAGCAGAACAACTCGTAGCAATGTCGGCCTTCTCACTCAACCAAAAAAATATACACTGTGCATTAAAGCATTGTCAAGTGGACGAAATACTGCGAAAATAAATTTTTTAAATAATAAAAATAAACACAAATTCAAACCTAACCAAGATACCAGGGACTATATCACAAAAGTAGTTTCTAAATTATACTCTGTTTCACCATTTTTGTTCAGCAGTACAAAAGCTACGGGGGTGTAAGAAAGCCACACGTTTGTGCAGCAATACGTAGTCCCACATACAAGTGCCCTATAAAATTGACAGGGTTGGCTAGCATTGGCGTTTCTTTGGTGCGTTTTACGCCACACCGATACATGATATGCTTATTTTTCTTTGCATTTATTTTGTACACATTTGATTATCTGTGTCGGTTACCGCTGATAACTGTATTTACAAATCAACATAGCAGCACACATTCAAAAGTGACAGCCCGCTTCGATCCAGACTTGCTCTTGCTACACGCCCACTGCACTGACAGCAGTAAACAAATGGTGAAATCAGCCATCAGTTTGTTTCATTTCATTCTAGTGCTAAAGGATCAGGTACATTTTGTCAATATTAGTAAAATAGTATGGTGCTTGCTTAGCCGCACCTGCTAAGCCTGACGTGCAGAGGCAGTGTTCGGACTGCATCGTCAGACCAAAAACGCTGCATCTCCAAATATCGGACATGCAATCTCGCACAGCATTCCGTGCGCGTCGGATCCTCCTTTGGTGGAACCGAAAAAAGAAAAAGAGAAAACGAGCGTTGCGGCGGGAGACACGAAGAAACGCGTCGACTGAGAAACAGACATACGAAAGCCACGAGGAGCGTCAGAAAGAAACGACCACACAGTGAAGTTATCCACCAGCATGAGATTGTGGCAGAGTAATGAATTCACGCTTCTTCCAAGTTCCGGTTATGTGTCTTGTCTAATAGCTTTAGTGCATTTTTAAGTTGATAAACTAGCCATAATAACTACAATTCGGTGAGCAGATGCCGTGAATACGGTGAGCAGACGACACAGCGTGAATGAATACACATGGAGGGGATAAGCGTCCTTGCTATTGGCTGAGGGGCCTGTAGCCACCACAGTGGTAAAGAGAACTTCTCAAACAGAGTATAGATAGTGGATGAGGATATTTAGGGATATAGTGCTCGGTGTCTTGGTTGTGTTTGAATTTCTGTTTTTTTTATTATTTTCTATTTTTTGCTGTATTTCATTCATCACTGGCACACCACTGCACATAAGTATTTCTATAGGAATGTCCCTTGCAAACAGAAGTGTTCTAATGAGATTGTATATATGCGGTAATGGTAACACGAACTATGGTGTTGATCTCATCTGCTTTTTGCAATATCATACCCGTACTGTCATTGGGTGCTGCCAAGCTTTGTTACATGACTTAATGGTTGCTTAGGACTGGATGTGTGATACCTCAACAAACTAAGTGCAGAAACAGTGTGGGCGGGAACCTGTTTCGCCACCGTACCTTTTAAGTGCGACTTCAGGGCTGCTCAATAGTGACGCACCACATTTAGCAAAAACCATCACGTCTTCGATAATTGGTGCATAGGGATACTGACACCAATTTTCTAAACTGAGTTTACTACGCCATACAAGTCTCCTGTACGTAGAGATAGTTCTGAGCAAGTGTGAAGATGAGTAAATGTTGATAAAGTTCTTAATTTGTTGTCAAAGTCAATTTTCACATGGTGCACCTACTGACATTGAGGCTATTGTGGTGCCAGGCTACATTGTCGATTCTGGTGACCTTAAGCACCAGTATGCCTAGTTTTGATCATGAAGTCGGGTACCAAAATACCAAATGGCTGCATTGTGCATCACCAACGCAGCCAAGCAGCAGAGTGGTCATAAAAACGTTGCGACATATTGAGCGAGCCCGTGGAAAGCAGCTCGTATTATGTTAAGACGTCAGTGTACAAGAGGAAGTCACTAGCTTTTAAAAATGTGTAATTAGGTTTTCATGGTGCACTCACACTGACCAGTAAATTTTCTAGGATCTTGAGGATGTGGTCTTTGATGTGTTGTCAAAAAATAACAGCTGAAAATTTTCATTTCAGTACCCCTTTAAATATGCTCGTCTATATTTCTTCTTTAATTTCCAGGGTTCCTGGTTGTACCCCTGCGGTTCCAGTGACGCTGGCCGAGCAGTTTCAACAGGCGAATCTCTCTGCTTATCTGTGCACTGACGAGGTCAAGGTCCAGTGCAGCCAATGCGCGGCAATGTTAGCGAACAAGCGGTCACTGCAAGACCACATGCTGACCCATTCCAGTGAGAGGCCCTATGAATGCGACACGTGTGGCATGCGATTCAAACGAAAGGGCTCGCTAGTTAGGCACCACGCAACTCACACGGCCGAGAAGGAGTTCAAGTGTGAGCTGTGCCCCTCGGCATTCTACCGTAAGGAATCGCTGGAAAAGCACAAGGAACTTCACGAAAGAGGTGTAGACCTGTTTCCCTGCCAGGAGTGTGGCAGAATCTTTCGACAGAACGAAAGCTTGCTGAAACATGTGCGGCGGCACACGCTCGAGAAGCCCTTTGCATGCCACCTGTGTCCGGCGAAGTTCCTGAGACAGGCAGACCTGAATGTTCACATGCGTAAACACACAGGCGAGAGACCGTACAAGTGTTCCATCTGTGAAAAGTCGTTCAGTCAGCCGCAAAAGCGTACGATGCACATGCGTCGTACACACCTCGAGGTGAAGCTGAAAAAAACGTTTCCCTGTTCTGCTTGCGAAAAGGTGTTTTTTGATCAGCGAAACCTCCGCAGGCATGAAGGCACTCACGAGATTAAGATCTTTCAGTGCAGCCACTGCTCAGTTACAGTGGCGAGCATGTGGTCACTGAAGAGACACATGATGACGCATTCCAGTGAGAGGCCTCACAAGTGCGGCACTTGTGGCATGCGATTCAAGCGAATGTCCGGGTTACTTAGCCACCGCACCACTCATATGGTTGAGAAAAAGTTCAAGTGCGAGCAGTGTCCATCGACGTTCTGCAAGAAGGTGTCGCTGAAAAGGCACAAGGAGTTTCACGAAAGAGGCATGAACAGGTATCACTGCCAGGAGTGCGGAAGAACATTTTTACTCAAAAAGAGCCTGCAGCGACATCAGAGGTCGCACATGCTGGAAAGGCCGTTTGCATGCCGCCTGTGTCCAGCCAAGTTCTTCAGGAAACACCACTGGGAAACTCACATGCTTGGACACACGGACAAAAAAAGCACACAAGAATTCCATCTGTGAAAAGTCATTCGCCCAGTCCCATATGTGTACGCTGCACATGTCTTGCATGCACTATGATGTGGCACTCGAGGTAATATACATTGATAACAAGACGATGCTTTCGTGACTGTATGTGACTGTATGTTATTCTAGTATGCTGCAAAATAAAAAAAAAGTGAGGGAAAGCTTACAAAGATGCTGATTTAATAACAGGCATACTGGAGTCACGGTTATGGTGGTCATACATGCTGGTCACTATGAAAAGGCTTAGTGGAGTTGAGGTGTAGTGCTAAATGCCTTTCAGAATATGGACTTGGACCAGGGTACATTGAATTATGCCCTATGGAGGACAGCTGTGAAATCTGCTTGGTAGCCAAGAATAAGAGAAAGTTCTCTACCACGCATATAATGGGCTTGCTGTTTAGCACAGTGTTCTTATATAGTCAGCTGCCAATTTTTCATTCATGCTTGAAAATTTGGACATTTTTGCAGTACCATCACAAGTCCCATAGAGCCAGTCTAAGAATGCCTGAAATATTGGATGCCAAAACTCTTTCATGTCTCATTTTTTTTACTTTGAGCTCAGATTGGAGGCTCAAAATAGCATCGATTGAAGCCACCACCACTGCCATGTTGATCATTTCGCTGGCTCGAGCCAGTGCCTTCGTGAGTTAATCCATTTGTGGTCGTGCGAAAAGGCAAGACTCGGCTTTGCCACACTGCCAATACAATAGATGGCAAAGCTTACGTAAAATCAGAATGGGCCACGAGGTGAGCGTGCCGATGCCACGCCATAAATGCATGATGATGGAAGGGGTCATGCTCTACAATGTGATTTATTTGCTTAGAACCACAATATTCATATTAGAATAAGCATTTTCAGCAAGATCTTCAATAGGGCATAAAACCTGGTGCAGTAGTTAGCGTACTGGTCACTTTCAAAGAGACAACGACTTGGTTTAGATTGATAAACTGCACTCTGATGCCTTTAATGCCTTAAGTGTCACTATCATAAGTTCATTATTAGTGGACTAAGTCAAGGTTGAAGTTTCATTTTAATATTTCATTTCAAGATCGTCACGCGTAATGTCAAAGTTTTACAAATGTATTTTTCAATTATCGCGACATTGGCTCGAAATTTTGTGAAACTTGGTGTGCAGGGTCCATTTCACCCACAGACGACAATTTGCTGTAGAATTTGTAAACGGAGAGTTGTTAAACAGAACTGCTGCTTAGATGGAACAAAAGTTTCTGACAAAATTGGTTTCATTCTTGCAATCTGCAGCCCTCGTCTTGTATCAGTAAATGGAACTCCTGTTAAAACGGAAGGTATTTTCCTGGTCCTTCCAGGTTTCGTTTAACGAGACACCACTGTACTTAATTTTAATTGATTAGACACTACGTTGGACCGAGTAGATGCCTTCAATGTCAATGACGTCGCAGTGCTTGGTTCGGGAATCTACAGGTGGTGTCTCCACGGACATTTTCTTGATTACCAAGCATTGTACCGCAGTAAAAGTGGTGTATCAGGATTGGGAAATTGTATTTCACTTGTGCACGAAAAAACCGTTTTTTTCTCTTTAGTGTTTCTTCAATAGGTGTCAACCTGAACGTGCCGCACCGCTGTTCATTTTTGTGCGAGACCGCCAAGTGCACTGAGTAGATGCATTGCTTGTAAAAACCAACTCAGCTTGGCGTAGGTGCTTCCTGGCTTGGCTTCGCTGCTCCTTTGTGCAGTCAGTAAATGAGTCGGTACATCGAACATTCTCATGTCAAAAATGCGTGAATACGATGAAGCAAGCATGATGGAACTGACGGCAGAGAGCAGAAACTCAGCATACCTCCCACGAGACAAGCGCTCGCATGCTGGTACGCTGGGGCATTGCCGCTTTTACCACTAGCGCCTGCTGGGTATACAACTAGAAATAATTCACAAAAAAACTTTTATTTTATGACGTCACTAGTGAGGTCAGCAAATGGAGAAAAGGAGTGCTGAGAAAGGATTTCACGGTTCGTGTACTGTAGGCCCCAAGGTCGAATCCAGCCATCGCAACAGTTCTAACCCGACGTCGTTTAAGAGCTCGTTTCGCAGAAATTCCGGTGTCGGCGTAAGCATCGATGGTTACGAGTGAAGAATCATCTTGTGCCTGACCAAAAAAATCAAGAAATATGCAAATAAAATAAATAAAAAATTCTCTGCCTGAGCGAGGTTCAAACCCGGGTCGTTTGTGTAGCAAGCAAGTGTTCCAGCGCAGAGCCATGTGCCTGCTTGGAAATACAGTGAAAATAACTTCCTCTGCTGGTAAATTCAGTTAAAGTAACTTTCACACATAACAAACACATGCGCCCTGTATATTTGTTTCACAATGCAACATGTAATATCGCAGTAATGATGGGTGGTACAATTGTACATTGCGGTCGGGTGTCAGAACATGTGATTATCATGACTTCATGGCATGAAGCGGGCCGCTCACTACATGAGGCACACACGCCTTTCCCTTACTGTCACGGAGCGGGTGAACAGCAAGCTCGAAAATATTTCATGCGCACAATTGCCCGTGGTTTGAAACAAGCTTCCTATTACACAGAATGCAGCCGTGTGCAAAATCTTCACTGACACAAGCCATTTTGAACTAGGTACGCTCTAGGAACAGTATCTCGCTGTTGCGTTGAATTCTAAACAGTGAAGCTTAAGGGTCTGCCAATTTTTATACTTTATTTACTTTGCAAACATAAGCGCGTGCACAGGGCAATAGGGGAGTGTGGCCCATCTAGTCACATCACATAAAAAAAAGGGGGGGGGGGGGGGGGAGGAGCAAAGTTTGCTCCATAGTTTGACCTAATAGAGGGGGAGGCTGCGAATAACTTTAGCCCTCCTCTGAAGAGGCACCCTAAGCACACCTATACGTACAAGTACCGTTCCTCAACCACCTCCCATTCTGTGCAGCCCCCACTTTTCAAATTAATTCAATCAATGTATCTGCTGAATGGCAGCCTAGTGTGCGAGAATTTAACGTACCGTTGTATACATGCATTTCCTAGCTAGTGCATATACGAGTACCATGGTGTACATCGTGACCAGTAGCTAATGCATATACTAGTACCAAAGTGTATACCGTGACTAGTACTAATAGTAGTTCTCATTACTTGCATCAGTGGCGTAACTAGATAGGACGGCGCCCAGGGCAAATATATTTCCGCGCCCCTCATTATGCCCGTGATAATGTTTGTTATTATTATTATTATTATTATTATTATTATTATTATTATATAATAATAATAATAATATTAATTATAATAATAATAATATTATTAATAATATTAATAATAATAATAATAATAATATTAAATAATATTATTATTATTATTATATTATTATTATTATTAGCGCTAATGTAGGCTTCCGCGATTGCCTACTGGCGCGCGGCGGGCCATTTCGGAGGCCAAGGGCCACCAGTTCTGATTTCGATGAGCTACGCCCGCGTTTTTGTATAGTATTTTTCTTTTTTTATTCAAACTTCCGGAAGTCCCTTACCCGTCATTGTTCTCTTCCAGTCCACACTGCAAAAATCTTGACGGCACGGGCGCTTCCCAGGCCCAAGTTTCTCGTACCTAAGCTTTCGCGCTATTTGTGCATCCCAAGGAATGCAGGGTGAGTACAAAACAAAGCAACCAGCTAGACACCGCGCCCTCGGGTCTGGTATGGGGGTTAAACTGGTCGGAGTGTTCTGCCGTTTCGCTCCGTTCGCTGTTCCATTGATGGAGGTCATCCTTGTGCGGCCGCATTCTTTCAGGGAAGTTCTTGGTTTCTCCAACGTACGAAGCGGGGCAGTCGGCACATGCTGTCGGGTACACTACGCTCTGCGCTTTTTTCGCAGGTGCGTGTTCTTTGGGCCAAAGGATGAACCTGCCCATGGCGGTGGATGGCATGTGGGAAACGTTGACCCCCGCCCTTCTATTGCTTTGCTGGCGCCCGCGATGCAGGGAATCAACAAACGTCGCCGTCGTGTCACGCTTTCTCCGTCTTTCCTCCAGAGAACTCTGCGAATAAACGCCTTTGTTTAGCCTTTGGTGCCGAGGTCACGGATTATATTCGCCCTTCCTTCCGCCGCTGCGTGGACGATTAGTCGTTGGACGATCGGCTATTTCGTTGGAGTTTTCTGTTCTTACTCAAAAAAGGTGCATTCGAACTTTTTTATTTTATTTTGTTTACGTACGTGGTTGGTTTCAGGGAAGCTTTCAGTAAGTGGTTTGGGAGGCTGGTGGGGTTCGCTGAAACTCATCTAACCCAGTGCTGCGGAGCACAAAACAAAGCTTAGCCGAGGGTCATGGGAAGGCACGGAGGTAGCGCAGCAAAATGAAAATAGAGGATCCTTTTCCCGATGCAAAAGCCATTGCGGCAACCCTTTCCTTCACCACCATCCCCACTTCCAGTCGTACATTACAACCTCGCCCCTCCCCCCTTCCAGGCGGTTTTACGGAAAAAAACATTGACAACCTTTCCAGGGGGCGCCAACCCGAGGACTCGGCTTGGCGCCCCCTCCCTAGTGGCGCCCGGGGCACTTGTACCCCCTTGCCCCCCCCTAGTTACGCCACTGACTTGCATACATGAAGGCATTAGGCGTCAAACTTTTTATTTGCAATACTGCTATGTTTGCCACATCATTAAAGATACTTCACAAATAAAGAGTGTTTGAAGAGTTACAAAAGTACAGCAGCACCATGCATAAATGCTGCACGTGTCCTTGTGAACATAGAAAACTTTTGTTGGGTCTAACAAAGAACCAGTCAGATAATAAGTTGTGTGTTCTTACTCAATGTATTGATGAATATAAAATAGAAAACAGACCCTTGTACATGGCTTTTCTAAAATGGCTGAGGTGTATGACGTTTACCTGGAAATGTCGGAGAATATACGAAAGAAGTGGGCATAGGCGATCACAATATACAACTTTTGAGGGAGACATACCAAGAGAATACAGTTTGCGTAAAATAGGGAGGAATAAGTAGCACAATAGATGTTTATATTAGCGAGGTGCTGAGGCAGCTAGGGATGTCCATAGCATCTGCTTTTTTTTTTATGCTATGCATGATGAGGAAGGCAAAAGCGCCAAAATTGTAGCAGCAAATTGGTTTTAATCTGTCTCACAGACAGACCGACATGACTAAGCATCAGCTTCAAGGTTCATTTTACGCTAATGATATTGTCTTATTTGTGCAGAGCTGAGATGATTGTACCAAAAATGTGGATTGATGGTATTCAATGATCATGTTGTGTCAATACGGGGCCAGGAGATACAAGGATACAAGTGCCTCGAAATATGGCTAAAGGGGGATGATGGATACATGTAGGTACAAGAAAAAGCCACGGCAGCAAAGGCAAAGATCAATACATTAAATGCGAGGGCATAACTACACAGTGACAAAAAAATAAATAAAATAAAAACGTGATCACACGAGTAATGGCGAAGAAAAAATGGGAAGAACGGACAAAGTAATTACTCCGTCATCATGTCAATAGGAGCAGAGAGTTGGGCCCTGAGTGTATGGTCAATCGAATTTTTTTTATTTAATTGAATTGACAGTGCATTAGGCCCTTTTCATTGGCACAGCTTGGCGGTACAGAGGTCACAACTTCGTTATCAAGAGGACACGCATAGCAACCATCTCCATGCGTTCATTTCATTTAGGAATATTCATATTTATGCACGTTCCTGGAAGAGTACATCAAAATTGAGATGTTCATCAGAGGAAACAGATCCTTGACGCATCACTATGTACTGAAGAGCTTATACTCTGCGCTTTCGAATAGGCTCGGTCTTCATACAGTGTATTTTTAATAAAAGTACAGGATTTAGACCTTGTTGTTCAGCTGGCTACGTACGACAAAAGTGATGATAAGAGCCAGAAGTATGCATTCTCGGGGGCCATGCTTTGACTCGCGTAAGATGTGCTTACTCGCTTGCTTTGTATCATTGGCTTTGAAACTTCAAGTTTTCCTTTATATTGTAGAGATTATAGTTTTTATATTTGGTAAACGCCACAGTTTGGCAATTTATTTTTTTTTCAGAACTTTTTACGTAAGTTTAGTAGAAAAAAGGCAGCGCGTGTAAGCAACAATGTTCCAAGCGTCGCGTCCTCTCGCGGGCGGACTTTTTTGTTTCGTTTTGTTTTTACGTTACTTCATTTTGTTTTGGTTTGGTTTAGCGCATGTGTGTGTTGTACGTCATCGCACTTCATTGTGCTGGCCTTCATGTCACGCGCCCTTGACTCAGCTGACAACCAACTGCCAACCCTACGATCACACGGACGGACGGATAGATAACCGCAATCAGCCGAGCCCCCGAAGTACGCGTTTATCGCGTCTAGAAGTCATGTCAGTCGTTCTCGCGACCGCGAACGAGTAGAAATCGCGAGAAGCAGCAGCTGGCGACTTCACTCGCGCCCGAAAGCAGCGACGGTCGCCCTTGTGACATCCAACGATCCCGATGGCATCGTCCGGGGCTCCGCTGGGACTTCGGCTGCTTCAGCTGGCGTTCCGTAAGTGCTGCGTTTCCATTACGGCCGAGAGGAGGCTCGCCTACTACCGCGGCTTCGTGCTCGTGGCCACTTTCTTGGCGTACACTTGCTATCACATGACGCGGCGGCCCCTGAGCATCGCCAAGTCCGTGTTGCACCAGGACTGCAGGTACGCCACGCCCGACGCCTCGATCGTCGTCACCGTGAACAACAGCCGGACGTGGTGCAACTGGGCCCCTTTCGACGGCGATGACGCTCCTCGTCTCTTCTCCTACCTCGACTCCATCTACCTCTTCACGTACGCCGCGTGCATGTTCGTGAGCGGATTTGTGGCGGAGAGAATGCACCTGCGCTACTTCCTCGGGCTGGGCATGCTGCTGAGCGCGCTCACCACGCACGTATTCGGCATGGGCCACAGCCTGGGAATCCACTCGTTCGCCTTCTACTTTGTCGTGCAACTCCTGGGCGGCGCCTGCCAGAGCACCGGCTGGCCCAGCGTGGTGACGTGCGTCGGCAACTGGTTCGGCAAGAAGAAGCGCGGTCTCATCTTCGGCGTCTGGAACGCGCACACGTCGGTGGGGAACATACTGGGCGCCTACATCGCCGGCGTGTTCGTCAACCGCGACTGGGGCCTCTCGTTCGTCGTGCCGGCCGCCATATGCGGTCTCGTCGGCCTCTTCGTGGTGCTTTTCCTGACGCCGTACCCCGAAGAGGTCGAGTGCGACACTCCGCGGCGAAGTTCGGCGTCGCTGCAGACGTCCCTCTCGTCCGCGGTCGTCCGGCCGGAAGACGCGGCCAGCGAGGTCGATGAAGACGACGACGTGAACACTACTCTTGACGAGCAGGAACAGCGCTATTTGCTGGAGAGGAGGCTCGAGAAGGAAAGCGAGAAGAGAGCCGTCACGTTCCTTCAGGCCCTGGCCATCCCCGGAGTGCTCGACTTTTCCCTGGCCCTGTTCTTCGCCAAGCTGGTCAGCTACACGTTCCTCTTCTGGTTGCCCTTCTACATCTACGCCTCCACGTCGTTCAGTTCCTCGAACTCGGCGTTCATATCGACCGCGTTCGACTTCGGAGGCATCGTGGGTGGAATCCTGGCCGGCTACGTGTCCGATCGCACCGGTGCCAGCGCCATCACCTGCGTCGTCTTCCTAATGGCCGCCGTGCCCATGATGTTTGTCTTCGAATGCTTCGGCAGCGCCAGCCTCGCCATGAACCTGGGCCTCCAGAGCTTAGCGGGTCTCTTGATCAACGGCCCGTATGCTCTCATCACAACCGCCGTATCGGCGGAGCTCGGCACCCATCCGACGGTGACGGGAAGCGCTAAGGCGCTGGCCACGGTCACTGCCATTATCGACGGCACAGGTTCCATAGGAGCCGCTGTGGGCCCTCTGATTGCGGGACTCGTTCTCCAGTACGGCTGGAACACCGTGTTCTACATGGTCATGGCATCAGATGTTTGTGCCGTGCTGTGCCTGCTTAGGGTCACCAAGTATGAGTTCCTTAGACTCAGATCTCGAAAGACAGCTCGAATGTCTCTAAACTAGTCTTTGTTATTGTTTTTGTTTAATTCATGGACATTGATGTTTTGCCTATTGTTTGGGGCCAGTGAGACTGGGCCCCAGCTATTTTAGAACTTCCACGTGCACGAAAATCGTGCTTTTAGACATGTTTACACACTGTCAAGTAACTTGCATTTTATTGCAAGCGAGACGAAGGGCTACCAGAGAAGCACCTGGGTTTGTGCACAGGATCAGTCGCATCTAAGGCGGACACCTCATTTGTATTCAAAGCCTGTACTACTACCACGATTATTTTAATGTGTGTGAAATGTGCGTAATGTGACGTCTGATCACGAGGCCGACAAACGGTAATAATTTTCCGAAATATGCATCAAACATTACTTCTACGGGGTCTTGAATGCTAAAGGGGTGTGCACTTTAGGCGCAGCGTAGATGACTTTCTGCATTGTGGATCACATGAGGATTGTACATAGATATACATAGCAGACATAACGCGTTTATGCATACTCATACACCAGTGTTTGTTTTACGTGCAAGTGCCTGCATTTTTGTTGGTTAGCGATCATTTATCATCTTAATTTACACATTCCAAATGAGCAAGTTGTTCTTGCATACCATTTTCAGAATTTTTGAACTAACCTCCATTGTGACACATTTTTGCTGTGTACACCTTCACCGTGCACTTGTGGACGCCTGAGTGGAGACGTCATCGTGTACAGTAAACGAATTAACTGTGTAAAGAACCAAATAGTGAAAGTTTCACGGAGCAGTGTGTCATTGCACCGTAAATCTGTGCCATTGTTCATCAAGCCTGCTTACATGATATGGTACTGAAAGAAAATCTCACTCCGCAGTGCTTTTGTGTAAGCATGAGTACTTGTAAGGAAATTCGGACTCTTTTATCCACACTAGTGTACAGCAGTGACCAGGGGAATTTACATATGTATTTCACAAAAAATCAAGCTGGCTGCAATCCAGGAAATAGTGCATTTTATTTAGGACCGCATTAGAAAGTGTACAAGCGTAATAATGTGTTTGACAGATGGGCTTTTCCCAGCAACTGAGTATTCATGATGTCAGCTGTAGTGTTAATCATCAATGTTTATTGTAATATAAGGACCTATCATCCGGTGACTGCCGAGTCTGCACCGACATTTCACTGCCAGTAGGCAGACCAAGTGCTTATGTGACATAGCGACTCTCCGATACTGCACGCGAACAAAAGATCTGAATATCAGCGTTGTGAGCGCTTTATACAAGGTGATCGTTGCAGGTATTAAAATGCTTAAAAGCACATTGGGTTGCTTCTGTGCTTTTTGACTGGTGTGGCAGAAGATTTGCCAATTCCGACGCGTGTAAAGTGAGATACAACACGAAACAGATGAACTTCGCTCAAACCGATGATTATTGCTGCTTCTTTGATGACTGTAAGACGTGTGGCCTTACACACGCAACATATTAACGAATTTACACTTTCAATATATTAAATGTACACTTTCCTTCCTACAGAATCAAGTTTCGCACGAAACCATGATTTAAAGATTTACCAGTCCAAAAGTATGTGCCTTATGAATGTGAGAGTACAGATGCATTTTAATTTTAATTCCTGTTTAAGTTTATGCCCGTTTTGCAGCATTCACTGCACTCTGTGTCACTATAGTGCAGTGTCAAAGACTTGTGGAGGCTGCATGAAGCCAGTTAGTGTAACTGCCCATGTAGCTGAGGCTTCTCTCAAAGCTAACTCCACAATTCCACTTGGCACCCTTGTTGCTGTAAGCCATGAGATGTCAATCAACACTACAGTAAAGGTTCTTATAAAACATTTCCAAGCAGCATATATTGGTTGAATGTCGCGCTCTGCTACTGGAGCTTTTGTTCATGGCTCTGATGGGTCTGGCTTCATCGATGTGGCTATTTGCCGGCGTCATTGAAGGTTCCATTGTTGTTGCAAAAACTTCAGGCGAGTCCGGAGACTTCCCAGTGCGAAACTGTAGGTGCCAGGGGGTGGCGCACCGGGCACGGGGTCCACACCCTCTACCTACCCAAAAAAGAAAAAAAGAAAATTCGCCATGGCATACATAGCGCAAAATGATCATTTGCCTCCTCCCCCTTTTGATCAAAGCAGTGCTACCCCTCCCCCCTCCAAAAAAAATATTGCTTACGCCCCTGATAGGAGCAAACCTGAATCGTAATAAAGCTTTATAGATATGCCATCAACGCCGGAGAGGAAAGAGCATCCATTGTCTCCTTTAAAAGTGCTGCTGCATGCATTGTTCGCGAGGACGAAGTTATTGCTTGGCATTGTCTGTTATCGCATCCTTCCACAGTGGTGAGATAGAGCTCCGTGGCGCTTTTAAAAGGTGCAACAATGAACTGCTGACCCCTGCGCTTATCTTTATGCACTTGCGCACCTTGTGGACGCATGCGGATAGCGTGTGTGACCCTGAACATTTCGGCTCTGCGTGATTCGGATGCGGTTACATTTACAAACGTGCATATCCACACAGTTATGTAGCTGAGCGGCGCAATTAAGTTTCACGGTAGATGAGAACAGCTCGAGCCGCGCGAGCATTGTTTATAGTTCTGTTAATTGTCGTTAGCTCTTCGAATAGGATTTCGCCCCGCCGCGGTGGTCTAGTGGCTAAGGTACTCGGCTGCTGACCCGCAAATCACGGGTTCAAACCCCGGCTGCGGCGGCTGCATTTCCGATGGAGGCGGAAATGTTGTAGGCCCGTGTGCTCAGATTTGGGTGCACGTTAAAGAACCCCAGGTGGTCAAAATTTCCGGAGCCCTCCACTACGGCGTCTCTCATAATCAAATGGTGGTTTTGGGACTTTAAACCCCACAAATCAATCAATCAATAGGATTTCACCTCCAGTAGCACAAATGTACAAATAGTACAAAGATAACAGGAACCTAGCGATAGTGTTATTTATTTGCGGTGGAGGGAAGGGTGGGGCTGACCACCCCGTATCTTATTTTCGTGGGCTCGCGAAGATATGCATTTATGAAGTCATTGAAGTGTTGATGTTTCTTTCTATCTTTTTTTTTTTTTTTTTGCATCGGGTGCATGCCTCTTCCTGCCATGGCACGCTTATATTTGTCAAAAAGATGGCCGAGTTTGTTAGACGAGTCAAGGACGCGTTGTGAATCGCTGCGTACCAGGCAGCCTTGTCTGGGGCGCGCACCCTGATATCGACTGCGTCTTATCAAACAAGGCAAGAAACTTCTGCTCAGTCTTTGCCGTCATCGAACCACTTCCGTGCAGTTTTAAACACAAGGCAAGGGGGTTGCCCGCCGCGAGGGCTGTCGTCCGCGTCATCAAGTCATATCAGTTGATTTTCGGTCAGAAAGAAGAACTGGGACAATGTGTTGTATTTATAGCACACAGCGGTCGTCCGTGGGCCGATCTCGCTGATAAAATATATTCAACTCAGAACCAGTCAGCCCAACGTTCAGCTAAAACTAAATTGCTTACGTCCAGGGGTGTCCAAATTAGATGATATGGCAGCTGTCACCCCTCCCCCGCCTGTCTTACAGAATTTCGAATATTTTTTTTTTGTGCAGTACCAATAAACCACACAGCTTCATTAGTACACGCCCTCGCCGAAACTTGTGAAACGGCTTTCAGGACTGCCAGTCAACTTCGCACGTTTCAGATTATTTTTTCTTACTAGTACTGCTGGTCAGGTCACGGCAGTGAAAGAGGGGGCTGACTGTAATAAATATCACCTTCCAATTCCCCGTGGATGGATGAATGGATGGATGGATGGATGGATGCTATTAGCGACCCCTTTATGACGGGGCAGTGACATGTGTGCCACCATGCTGGAAAGAAAAAAAAAACTAAAAGAAATCTTTCTCTTTATGTGGGCCTAATGCTTTTTCTATTAAATCTATCTTATTATATCAAATACTATTTTGAATTCATGGTCCATTTCTCTGCCTCTTCAGGCAAAATGACCTCATTTTCCCCACTATTTCTATCATTTATCTCCACTTTTGTGCCACCACTGCAGTCTTTTACTTGCTTCTATCGTGGGCGTGTTCTGCTTTCCATGGTTGTCCCTAAAATGCAAGGCCTCATGTAAGCTCGTAACCACACGTATACCTGGGTTGATATCGCCATATTCAATCAAAACATGTTTCATCGTTCCGTTAGCTCCCCCATGGCATGTACATAGAGCTTCTTTATTATTGAATCTCGCTTTATAACTACACGCATTCTAAGGCAACCCGACGTCGCTTTGAAAAGTAAAGCGCTTCCCCTTGAATTATCACAAAACCTCTCCCTTCTTATTTCGTTTTGGCCCTTTCGGTAGCTACTGAGCCGTAACTTAGAAGTGTGGCAGCTTGGGCTAGTTGGTATGGCATGACGATAGTTATAGTGCGAGAACAAAACGACGACACAAAGACAAGAAGGACACGAAAGAGACGAGCGCTCGTGTCTTTCGTGTCCTTCTTGTCTCTGTGTCGTCGTTTTGTTCTCGCGCTATAACTATCGTCAAGCTACTGAGCCCTTCTGAATGCACTCCCCCCCCCCCCCCCTCCCAAACTCAAACTCCCGCAAAATGTACTGCCAGTGCCTCTAATTTTTTTTTTCAATGTCAGCCAGATTCTCCCGATTCAGGCGTTCACCACCCTTCGTGCCATGACACACTAATGTTTGTCAAAAAGATGGCCGAGTTCGTTAAACAAGTTAACGCGCATTGTGAATCACTGCGTACCAGGCAGCCTTGTCTGGGGTGGCTTGAAGCAACCTTATTTATCTCTCTCTCGTGCTCCGTCTTTGTGGCTCGAAGCAATGCCGCCTCACAGCGCTCGTGTGGAGCCTTGGAAGAAGGGTCCCGCTCTAAATAAACCACACAGTCTTTGCTCATTTGCTCAGAGTCATCGCAGTGACTTCCCTCCTATTACGTCAATGTATGTGGCAGACTTTGCGCGCCTCCCCCCCACTTCTTCAACCTCGCCCAAGTAAAATTTATGCTAGGCTTGGTTGCATAAGTGTGCGCATAGTTACCCTTCAGAGGCGAAGAGTTATTGCAGCGCCTCCGCCCCCCTCCATATAGTCAATGAATCTCGCAGACTTCGCGCCCCCCGCCCCCCTTTCTGAGCTGCCCAGGATGTGAGGACGGCTGCCCCCATGCCCCCCCCCCCCCCCCCCCGAGCGCACGCCTATCTTGGGCGTCATCGTGGCGTTATGTCTCATCTTTGCTTTATCGAGCTAGTCAGCAACACCGTGAGTTTAGCCCGTCCTGCCTACGCCTCCTCGAAAGACATCAAGTCGGCCGACAGGAACGCAAGCACTCGCTGGCTTACCGGTTGGGTTGTGTACGCATGCTTCTTGATCCTGCATGGAATTTGTTCGCTGTCGGCATATACTGCTGGCTCGACAAGGTGGCTTTCCATGCTTACCCATTCCAACGACTCCATGCGCGTATACAACAGTCTGATACGCCCATATTTTTTTCAAAAGCAGCGGACAGATCGACACCGCCATACGCGAGGATGGCGGCTGAAGCGGCTGCTATCTTCGAAGACGTTGCGTTGTTAAGGTTTCGTTGCGTGGACGTGGTTCTGTTCTGTTATAGCGTGAAATGGAACAGAACCAAGCTGAATTTTTTTTCTTATGAATAAAATTTTGCCTGCATAACAAAGTATACTTAATTGATTTAAAATCTGTTGTAAAAACCGTGTCACTGAGGAGCGAATAAATCATTCTTATTAACTTTCTCGCTGCTTACTGTGATCGGAAGAGCTGCCAATTTGGAAATCAGGCACCGGCACGCTTGTAGCAGCGGCTTGCATGGTAAAGGTGGCGGAATGAACGGTTCTTGGAAATGCAACCTCGTGAATCCTGGGTCACCAGCGTCAGAAACAAGCGTTACACTTTCAACAATGGCTGTACAGGTCTGATACAGCACACGTGTACAGGGCAGACTTCGCGCCCCTCTTCGATGAATGGAGATGATGCTGCCACTCGCCGAACCCGATCCCTGTGTGCACGTATGTGCCTGATTGCCATCAATATAACGTTTACACGACAATGTAAACGTTGGCCGCATTGCCCAAGCCTCAAGGACCAAAGACGAGGAAGCCATAGCCTTGCTGGTAGATAAAAAAAAAAGCCTAGCTTTCTTCAGGAAGCTTGTATGCGATGCACATATCAGCAACACCATGCAGCAATTTCTTCAAGCGCGTTGACCAAACGGCGACCAACGCCACATATTGCACTGCCACGTGCTATCAGAGTGACCAAACATTTCCGTTCTTTTCAGTATGCGGCGGACTGTTCTTTTTTACTCTCAAGCTTCTTCAATCTTCACGCTTATATCACTATGGCTGATACAAAAAAGTGCGTGTGTGTGGGTGGGGGGAAGGGGGAGGGGGGGGGCGTTT